AAAACATACACATACACATCCATAAGATCGTACAAAACCCACTGATCTCTTCCCTCGCGAAAGACCCTGTCGCTCTTCTCAGCTCCACGGCATGGTGTCCAGCTTCTGTCGGGCCTTCGCCGGTGGCTTCGCCGCCGCACGGCGGCGACCTGGCGGGATGGGACGGCGATGGAAGTCAGCCTGAAGATGGAGTCAGATGTGGCTGTGATATGTTTGGAACACCATAAAGATAGAGCAACCCTTAAAAATAGAGCATACCAAAGAGCTGCACACTCAACGTTCTTCAAAATCATGTCTGGGAGACCCATTTTGGGTTTGTCAATCAATCCATGCAGCGGGCAAAGCTGATCTTGTTGAGTTGGGCGTGGTTTCCCTGCTTACTTCATGGGTCTCCGGATAAAATGATAAAGAGCCTTTTCTGTCGAAGAGATCACTGCTGATTGAATGAACTTCGAAAATGTGAAAGATGGAAGGTACACAGCAGGTGGAAGAATCTTTTTGTTGGTATAAATTCGGTATTTATAAAGGATCCGCTCGTGTGACAACATAGCAACCACGGTCCCTGATGTCTTGAATCAAAGGCAGAGACGTGTCATGCCAAACAAACAGTTTCCAAACATGACACGTCCAACAAAACCGGTTTGCAACTTCACGTGTCCATGACTCTGTTGTCAAGCACAAAACCTTTGGTTTGCACAACAAATGAAAAACTTTGAAAAGGCACAGCGGGGTCAAGCTCCGCGTCAACAAAGAGGCCCATGTGCGCGTGAGCCACAAGACCGGTGAAAGAAACCCCAAAGAAGGACTACTCAACAAAACATGTTTATATACATATATAAATATAATCTTCTAAATCTGGACTTTAGCAGTTTGAACAAAACACGTCGTTGGATGCAGCTGACCGTTCGACCGTGGAAGAAGCCTCTAAAACACGTTTACTCGACATCCTTCCCGTTTTTGAGACATGCTTGATCATTTTTGCATTCCAAGACATTCTTGTGGGACACTTTTTGCTTGACCCTCTGGTTTGACACTCTGGTGGGACGCGTTGCTTGACACTTGTGGAACATTCTTGTCAGACACTCTTGCGCGACATGTTCAAAGGACACTCTGGTTGACAACCCTTGTGTGACTGTGCAACACTCTTGCGCGACATGTTTGTTTGACGCATTTTTTCGGACACCATTCCTTGCTTGACCGCTTTCGGGACGGCACTTGCACGACAAAACCGCCACTTCTGAGTTACACCTCCTTTTCGTCTTCTTGTGGCTTGACTAACCATGCTACTCACATGAACGATGCCGCAATTGATTCTTGCCACTCACATGAACGATGCACAGCACGATGACAACTGTCAATGTCATTCGCACGGCTCCCCAAATCGAGCACTCCTAGTGAGCGAAAGATGGCGCATCCTGCCAAGTCACGCTCATCACACTCGCGGGAAATGAAATTGTTAGGCAGCAACTTTTTTCTCTCGAACACGAACACTTCAGGGTGATAAGAACAGATACTACACAAGTGACTTCAATCCAATCTATACATGTCACATCTATGTGCATACCGGGATGTAAAAATGGTTAACACCCCTCCTTGACGCAAAACGTTCTAGTTTATGCATCACTCTCTTCTACAATCGTGAGATCTACCATCGTCAAGGTAGAAGTGAAAAGGTCTCTCACGAATGTTTGTACAGCTACCCATCGTAGCTATCGTTCCGGTGTCTTTTGACACAATTTCTACAAATGTGTTTTGCCAATTCTTTCGATACGTGGTTCAATTGGTTCACGTATCTTCCTCTGTTTGTCAAAATTGTATTGCATGCATCTGTCAACAAATTCAATCGTTGTGCACCTATACCGTGGTTCAGATGGCTTCACGGTATTGAACAATGAATGGTCCTGTGGTTCAGACGGTTTCACAGGCCACACCAAAAGAAATGTATTGTAAATTTGAAACTCTGCAAATCCGAAATCTGCAAATCAATTGCCATCATCTCTGTTTGAATTGCTTGCGTCATCATCATCATCACTGCTAAAATGATGTAGTTCCTGCCAATACTCCGGATCGCTCACCTCTTCAATTCCAGCATAAATGTACCTCATTCTTCTGTGCGATTCTGTCTCGCTGTCTTCAACTTCTGCATCATCGTCACCCTCATCATTCTGTTGGTCTTGTCCTGCCGAGGGCATAGCCAAACTTCGCCCTGGCAAACTTGATGAGGTAAAATATCCGTCACCTGAATCAAGCTCTGACCTAAACTGTTCATCTCTGCCTGTCCATCCCGTGTGACTGCTCGATGCTGTTCCACTGAACTGTTGTCGTAGCTGCATCCCAACGCTTTCATCTTCTGGCTCTGGTGCCGGTCCAACATAACAATGCGTTGCAATGCTCTCATGTTCTGGTTCTGGATCCTCCTCCACTTCCGGTCCTGCAGATGAACCTGAATCCGGTGAAAGATCTGTCATACCACGACACATCATATGTGCCCTTCTTCTCACACCTTCGCTGTGGTTCTGCTCAAGGATACCTAGCTGCATCTCCAAAATGTCACGTCGATGATTGTACCTGAGCAATGTATTGTGATCCATCAACTGTCCCCGACGTTGCAATCCCAACATAAAATATAGGAACCACTCCGGAGACCAAGGATCCCACCGTGGCGGTGGGTCTATCGGGATGGGCGAGAATTTTGGCGCTCGCGGTGGAGGACCCCTTGGTGGGGAGGTGCTCGGAGGTCTCGGCTCTGAAGTCGCACTTGCTTGTCCTTCAACTTCCAACTCTTCAACTTCAACATCTGAAGATTCTTGTTGCTCTTCAGCATTTTGTCCTTGTCCTTCATCTTGCCTTTCAACATCTCTTTTTCTCTTTCTACCTTGCCTGTCTAGCATCGTCTGCAACAATGTCTGCAACACATCCCAATGCGAGAAAACAAAATTGCACAATGCAATGATTGCCAATACAACCATGGTCAATGCAACCTGCTGCCAACTGTTCTCATTGTTCTCAACTGGTTGCTGTTCATCATTGTCCATGCAACCTTTCATGCCGAAAACGCTCAATGCCATGGCCACCTGCAAAATGCTTCTGTTTGCTTTGCACCGAGTCAATCTGCTGATCCTTTGGATCTGTACTTTCAACGCTTCTTCTGTCATATGTTCAACAAATTCTGTCTCACCCACTGCTTCTTGTTGTCCACTCTCTTCGTCAAACCTGGTCCCACCCAAAAAGTATAGCAAGAACCGTTTCCTAGTTGCTGATAGTTTCTTGGTGTTTAGATCACTCACGTTCAGCTTTATACCAATTGGCGCTACCTCCAATACCTTCTTGTGAATTGCACTCTGCAACCAACACAACCTAATATCAAAATGTTTGAGTCGTCCGACTCCTGATCTGGCCAACCATTGTCGTCCACTTGAACTGTCGCTTCTGGCCACAACCTTGCAAATCATCTGTGAAAGAAACTCAACAAATTGTTCTCAACAATATTCCTTCACTGCAACCTGCTGTCAATGCAAGAACCTCACTCTCCAATGAGCTAAGGGCGATCGACTTCTGGGTCCTTGAAAATGATGTAACCAACACCGAATCAAGGAAAATCATACATGCGGTGGTGCTCTTTCGTCCAACGCCTCCTGCCTAATCTGAATCGCAAAAGATCTCCAACAAATGCTCCTTGCTTGAACCTTCATCTGTTCGACCTGTGTTCAAAATCCTTGCCAAGCTCGTCCCTGCTTCAACATATGGCAACTTGAACACCCAATCTCTTGTACCAGCTAGATACAAAATCAACTGTATCCATGCTTTCTCTGCCTGCTGAGTTGGACACTTCATCGAACTTGCCAATGTCTTCACGCAATATTGGATGTCAATTCTGTCTTGCGCTAAATACATAGCAACACCCAGTCCGCTCCGGAACAACGATTGCTTCTGCTGATCAAGTTCTTCTGAAATATCCACCAGTCCTAGCAAGCTATGCTCTGGCACCTGTTTATACTTGCGATTGTCAACATCGTATAGTTTCAACAAACTCTCAATGTACTTCTTGTTTTTTCCCACGAGTGCGGACGCCATGTGGGCGGAAACCAAACAAAAACAAAAACCACCGCCAAAGACCCCCATCCAATGTGGGCAGTGTTTCCTCTGTACTAAAGTGAGACAGATGAGAGTTGACGAGCTGCAAAATACCTAAGGGCCTGAATTCACTACGAAAAGCAAAATGCTTCAGTACGTGGGCGACTGCTCTGATCGGCCAATCAAAGGTGGCCACATTCCATTGGCAAGAATGAGATCATCCAAGCCACATTTGGTTACTGGCACTAGAGTTGACTTGGCTTCTTGCAAGATGCCAGGCATAATGTCAGCAGTAAAGCGATGGTCACAGGCACAAAGGTTATTTTGACATCTTGCAAGGTGCCAGGTGTAATGTCAGCAGTAAAACGATGACAAATGCCAAAAAGTCATCAGTTGCAAAGCTTAGCAAGCCATGGAAAAGTCCCTCTCCGTAGCACAACCCATATAACTGACTGCACGAACGAAAAGCAGAGGCTCGTCTTGAGTGTGGCAGTTGAAAGGCATTGCAAAAAAGATACTGCTAGAACCTGTGCTGATCTCCCTCCCACAAGGGAGGCACAACACACCACCCAGTAGCTCCCACGTGTTGGCCAAGGGGAGCATTGGGGGTGTTCACTCTTCCATCGGATAGTGCAATTCGGAGGTCACCACCTTCAACACACATGGCCCATGTGAAACTGGTGAAACAGTGACCTATTCTAGCATGGTACTTGTGCCACCTTTGTACAAGATTAGCTGAGTTCCGGCTCCCGCAAACGAGGAACTAAGGTTCTCACCTGGGCGCCAATCATCTACCGTTCTGCTACCACCCGCCTACCAAGGACCAAGAGCTAAGGCTCCCATCCCGGTAGACTCACAAAATCGCAGGCGACGAAGACGAAAGTGGCGACTCTCTCTGCTTGTCGGAACCTGGTTCACACTCGAACAGTTGGAGAAGTGTGCCTTACGCTAAGCCGGACACGTAGCCAATGTCAGGAATCATATGCAACCACGGTGGCCATCGCGTGGCCGGACAAATAGCAAAAGCATTTTCTTCTGCATAGGTTCCGCCATTTATGACGGCCCGGGAGTTTGACTAGCCTACTCTGTGCGCTGCGGCTCGTATGGACTTAAGCAAAGCCCAGCTTCACCTCAGACCCTCATCCTGGATCTCGAATCATCGTGAAAGTTTGACACACAAACTCCTGACGGAAAATCAAAAGCTCTCGTGCTCAAAACACCTAGTCAGTCAAGTGTCTCAACGACCCGAGTCGAAAACGAAAGAAAAAGCAGGCAAAAGACACGCACACTTTTCGCC